GTCATGAAATTGATGTTGAGAAGTTGATGAAAATTAGATTTTTTGGCATTTGTGCGAGTTCAAATGCATGCTTTCTCACCGAGCATCGTTGAAGAAGGCCCTTAGCAGAAGGGCAAAAAGACCGAACACCCATTGTCCGGATGGATTGGGACGAGTTTCAGATGAAATAGCACTTAGTATCAAGCAATCAACTTGTTTATCTCCAAAGAAGTTCTGCGAGGAGGTTATCATCTAGGAGTATACAGTCTGCAGGTTTTATTGCTTAAGTGGAAGTCATTGTATATGCTAATGAGTCTTGCCAAAATTATTTGTCTCATAGGAGCGCCTATACCATTAAGTTGGTCGAAGTACACCCATTCAACTCAACCTTTGATGAGTTTAAGTCCATTCATATTTGATTTGGAAATTTAGGATGTTGAAATTAATATGAAGATAAAGCCTGTTTTGTTAGTATTGCTCACTCCCCGATTCCTACCGTAACTTTAAAATATATGTTATATGTCAGTTAATGAGACCCTAAACTCTTGATGATGTCAACCAAAATCTTCTTGTCAAAAAGAAAATATGCACTATGAGAAAATCAAAGATGAACGCTGAAGGTAATTGTTAGGGGAGACTATCGGATCACAGTAGTACACCATAGTAAGTAAATCCAGATCAAAAGTCTTAGACGGCCAATAATAAGAAATTTTGTCGCTATTGCAAGAAAAAAGGAATGTAATTTCAAGAAATAGTGTTAAAGTTGAAAAAATAAGCAGCAATTGTAAGGCGAAAACAATAATCATGAAAAATTCAGAAAATTTCAGCTGAAGCAAGTTATCCTTGCACAAAAAAGATCTGAGGTGAAGTTTTGTCTACGTTTCTGATTTTAGAACTAGATCTTTTAAAACGGCAGTGGATTCTAGATTCTGCTTGTTCCCTCCATGTGATCCCCATAAAGATTGTTTACTACTTATTAATCTTGATTGTCAGGTATGTCTTAATGGGGAAATATAAGCTCCAGCTTGGTAAAGTTGTTGGGAAAGAACGAATTAGACAATTAAAATGCAATCTGATGCATGATTAGAACTATTAACCGGTGTTAGACATGTTCCCGACTTTGAAACGGAAACCTTATCTCTCTGGCACCTAGAGTCCTTGGGATCTGAGTAAATGGCAGCTGAAGTGAGCTTCTAAGGTCTCTAAAGGTTGCGCCTTCATTTTAATGAAAGCTAACATATCTGAAGCTGTATGTTGTGCAGGTATTCTACTGTGTTACAAGTTTGCTGCTGTATCATTATCATATCAGATTCAGCGTCACAAAATCTATGGCATATGCGACTTTGCATATGGAGTTGAAAAAGGATCATGACATCCTGAGCAAGAAAGGTCTTTTGTCCGGTCAGAAATACCCGTTAGGTTGGACGTTCTGTGAACATTGCATTCCGTAACCAGAAAAGATAACTTATTCGAGGAGGTAGCAACAGTCTGGTCCGGAATTCATAGAACAAAGGTACTCATTTGCACATAATTCTGTCTTTTGGGGGGACCCTCACGTGTTCCTTCAAAGGAGACATCTTACGACATCGTTACATGCTGACCATCATTGATGATTTTTCTCGTAAAGTCTGGGCTTATTTTTTAAAGCACAAAGATGAAGTTTTTTCCACTTTTAAGAAGTGGAAGATTTTGATGGAAAACCAGACAGGGAAGAAGGTCAAGCGACTCAGGACAGATAATGGTCTAGAATTTTGTGGAGGTGATTTCAACGCATTCTGCGAAAATGAAGGCATTGTGAGACACCGTACAGTTGCCGGTACACCTCAACAAAATGGCGTTGCAGAACGAATGAACAGGACATTGATGGAGAGAGTTCGTTGCATGCTCTCTAATGCTGCCTTGCCTAAAGAATTTTGGGCCGAAGCCGAAGTGATCTACCGATGTTATTTGGTGAATCGTTCCACACACATCACTTCGACTTCAAGAATTCCAGAGGAATTTGGTCCAGGTGATTCCGAAGAAAACCGAAGAGAAGGTGGGAGCTTGAATACAACTCCTACAAAGAGAATATTCCTTCACATCGGAGGTTCCTGATTCCACTGAACCAGATCATCATGAAGACTATTCTATTGCTAGAGATAGACCCAGGAGAGAAATCAAACGGCCTGAAAGATATAATGAAGGGAATTTGGTTGCTTATGCTCTTGCCGTTGCAGAGGATACAGTTGAAGGTGGAGAACCTCACACATACTCTGAAGCAATCTTATGTCCTAATTCTTCTGAGTGGCAAGTTGCGATGCAAGACGAAATTGAATCTCTGCACAAGAATGATACTTGGCAGTTGGTGAAATTGCCAAAAGGCCAAAGAGTTGTAGGCTGTAAATGGGTCTATAAGAAGAGCTGTAAATGGATTTATAAGAAGAAAGAAGGCAATCCCGGAGTTGAAGATGCAAGATATAAAGCATGTTTAGTTGCTAAAGGCTACACTCAAAAACATGGTGTAGATTTTAATGAAGTGTTTTCTCCTGTTGTTCGTCATACTTCTATACGTGTACTTCTTGCCCTTGTTGCCTTGTAGGATCTTGAATTAGAACATCTTGATGTTAAGACTGCTTTCTTACATGGAGAGCTCGAGGATTTATATGCAACAGACCAGAAGGATTTGTTTGTTCCTGGAAAGAAGACTACGTTTGTCACTTGAAGAAGTCCTCTTTATGGACTAAAACAGTCCACTAGACAGTGGTACAAGGTTTTGATTCCTTTATGGTTAAACATGGGTATTGTCGTAGTCAGTATGATAATTGTGGTTTATCAAAGAAGTTTTCAGATGGATCTTTGTCTACTTATTGTTATATGTTGATGAACATGCTAATTGGCTGGCTCGTGATAAGTCATAATCAAAGAATTGAAGAAATCAGTTGAAGCAGTGAATTTGAGATGAAAGATTTGGTGCTGCAAAGAAATTTCTTGTATGGAGATTCATAGATAGAGACCGATCAGCTGGAAAATTGTATCTATCTCAAAGAAATTACATTGAGAAGGTTCTTGAGAGATTCAACATGAATAACTCAAAACCTGTGAGTACTCCTCTTGCAGCTCATTTTAAATTATCATCTAATTTTTGCCCTCAGTCTAATGAAGAGAAAGAGCAATTGTCACATGTGACCTATTCTAGTGCAGTTGGTAGTCTTATGTATGCTATGGTATGCACTAGACCTGATCTTGCGCAGACAGTTAGTGTTGTGAGCAGGTACATGAGTAATCCAGGTAAAGAACATTGACAAGCAGTTAAATGGATATTCCGCTACTTGAAAGGTTCTGTGGACACTGGATTGGTTTTTGATAGGAATAAGGTGACACCGAATATTGTTATTGGATATGTTGACTCTGATTATGCAGGTGGTCTTGATAAGAGAAGGTCTTTGTCAGGTTATGTATTTACTTTATGCAATTCTGCCATTAGCTGAAAAGCTAGCCTCCAGTCCATTGTGGCACTGTCAACTACGGAGACAGAATATATTGCAATCACTGAAGGAGTCAAAGAAGCAATCTAGTTAAGAGGTTTGGTTACTGATCTTGGTTTAACCCAAGATGTTGTTACTGTATTTTGTTGTTGTTTACTCGTATTTTTTGTGATAGTCAAAGTGCTTATTCATTACTAAAAATCAGATGTATTCATGAAACGGACCAAAGCACATTGATGTGAGGAAGTATTTTATTCGGGATGTTGTGGCAGATGGGAAGATCATCCGTGAGAAAATTGCTAAAACTCATAATCCTGCGGATATGCTCACGAAACCAGTTCCAAATCTTCAGTGTCAAGCATTTGCTTGACTTGATCGGTGTTCACAAATTCTAAGGCCTTTGGGGCAATGGCGAGAAAGGAATATGCACATCATTTATAAAGAGATCATCTTAGAATTAAGTCAAGGTGGAGATTGTTAAATGGCCTTATAATTCTAAGATTCACACTACTAGTCCCTTTGGTGGCTTAAGAAAGCATGTTTTTTCATGTCTTCTACTAGTCTTTTGGTGGCTTCAATGTTGGTCAATTACTAGTTTTTTGGTGGCTTCAATTTTCACACTACTAGTCTTTTTTGGTGCTAAGAAAATTCATTGCTTTGGTTGGCAATGTTGGTGAGCTAACTTGGACTAGGATGGCAACAGTCTCAACAATGAAGGAAGAATTGAATTTGTTCACATGGTGATACACCTCTATATAAGGCAACCTTGCTTGGAGCAATTTATATCATCCAACTTAAGTGAAATTCATCAAGAGAGAAATCCTCCAAGAGCATTTTCTCTAAAAACTATCCACTCTTTTCATATACCACTTTTCATTTATATCACACCTTTATCCATATTCATTGAGTGTAGTGAGGTGATTATCTGAGTGGTATTTGTGTGGTGTAAAATCCTGTATATCCCATATTTTTTCATAGTGGAATTTACTTCTTACTTCGCCCGTGGTTTTTTTCCCTCTACATGGAGGGTTTCCACGTAAATAAATCTTGTGTCTCTTCCATTTATTATTTTACTTCTCATTTTATCATCAATTATCGAAACTAAATATTTATCCATTACCACGCTAAATTCCGCAACAGTGTTCAACTTTTTTTCTTTTTAATATTTCTTTTCCTTTTTTCTTTACAACTTGTCTACCCTGCTATTGCAATATTCATAGATTGTTATAGTTCCGGTAAATTAGACTCTTTATTATTGTATACCTTGAAAAATAGATGGAGAATTCATATGCCAAGGGAAGCGAGGTCCTAATAATAATAATGTGTACCTGCGGAAAAATCAAATCAAAATCCCGAGCTTATCGCTATAGGCTATAGCTAGAAGAGGAGCTTGAATATCTATTTGGAGCTTCATTTATGACATTTACCTTGCCACCAATTTCCTCTAGAAGCACCATCTGAATTGTTTCCATTAGGATCATCTTCTCCTCCAACTTTCTTGAACTAATCCATTCACAAAGCACATTAGTAGATTTGCTTGATGCATAATCTAAATTATTTGGTGTGCTGATAATAACACAGGCTATCTACTATTCAAGGCTTACTAGGGATACGATCCGGAAATATTATGACCATTTGGATGCTGAGAATAATTATCTTGCCCACCGTAGTAAAGTGATATTGAATTTAGATGATATGGTTCTGCTCTTTCTTCCATAAAAATTGAGTTTCTGTCCTTATTATGCATGTTATGGTTTGCAGCCTCACTAGTCATAGCTGTATTGTTAAATAAAATTCAAAATATATAAGCAGTTTTCTCCAAGCTTTTTGCTCAATGCATAAATTTTGATAAATATTTAGCATTTCACTATAAACAAGTGATGATCAATTCAAGAAAATGCAGGGAAATGGAAATCATACTTCTTTCAAGTTCTTGACTATATAACGATATAGAACAGGGCTAATATCACTAACCTGGAGCTCCTTGTTTTGTGTTCCAACCATGATTTCCAGAGCACTGCTTTCGTAAAACCCGAACAATCAAGAACAAAGTTCAGATGTAAATTATCATTCGTCTAATAATCTCGTGGTCGAACACCTACACTTTGTTCGGAAAGGAGAGGGAGGAAAATAATGAGAAATTGTTAATTTTATTTTCATAGTTATTTTACACCCTTGTGTTTGGATTTGGATAACGACGAAGGAAAGAAAATAAATTCATTTTTCTTTGTCTCGAAAGGACAAAATTAGGGGAGAAAAAAAATGTCATTATTAATATTTTAACATTTTAACCTCATTTATCCTTTTAACAATATATCCTATTTTTTTAAGTACCCGAACCGAGCAACTTCCAAGTTATAAAACTGTATAAACCTTCCCTTCCCTCCCCATATTCCAAATTATAAAACTGTACACTCAACGAGCAAAAACATATCGAAAGCCTGACAAGAAATTTAAGTTTCATAATGTAAGTAAATGCTCTAACTACACCATAGATGGAGGTGGAAAGATAGAAGCAAAGATTCCAGTTGAAGAAGTTGGTGGGGCCTCTTTTGTGCCAAAAAGATCAGCTGTGAAAGAAGAAGAAGAAGAAGAAGAATTTTCCTTCTTAGAGTCCAATAATGTTGCCTTTTCTGTACCTTGACTAACTAACCAACTACACTAACAACCAGTCTCCAAGAAACACTACAAGTTTATAAAACAGAAGAAGGAAGAAATCTAAATAATCAATTATGTTATATATATAATATATATATATTTATATATTATATATAGCTCTACAGACGTACACCAGTTGGCCGCCCATTTGCCTATCCATTCAAACAGAGAAAAAGGAAAAAAGAAAGAAAGCTCACTCTTTTAGTTTTATTTTTGTAATTAAGGATTCCTTCTTTTTTTTTTTTTTTTTTTTAAAGGAAATCTGACATGGGATTTTTTTTTTTTTTTTTCTTCTGCAATTCTCACATTTTTTTTTTTTTTTTCTTCTGCAATTCTCACATTCTCTTCTTCTCTCTTGCAAAATATAATATCCTACTTCCACCACCACCACCATGATCATCATCTTTTTCTCAAGAAATGCAAATGGATAAGTGCAACGTGGCTTCCACGTGTCATCCTAATTGGACAAGCCAATGAGTGACGTGTGTCCTGTAATGGATAATTGCAATTTTGCAACGTCCTTTGTTTTGTAGAGTCACATAAACTTCAACAACTCAAATTACCCCAAATCTCTAAAAGTAAGAAGTTTCATTTTTTTTTTTTTTCCTTGTTTTAATTTTATTCTCATCATCATTTCCTAACCAATTAATGGTGCTTCCTAAAAGTAACTTTATTGAATATTAATTCTAAGCAAGCATAACCATGGATTGATTTTAAATTGGAATCGAATTGGTTAGTCGGAAAGGAACTGTAGTCAATAATTTTTTATTTCCAATTGAAATTCAAACCATATGCTACAATTGATCTCGATTCTTATTTTTTAGAATTAAAATTTACCCAATTCTGATTAGAACCGCAAGCCAAAAAAATATTTTTTTATTATTTATTTATGTTACAAAACTAAAAAATTGAAAAAAATGAAATAACAAAAACAATCTAAAAAGGTGATGCTTGCGTTCAAAACTAACAATTCTAGAACCATTAAGTCAATTTTTATTTCACTATTCCTTAAAATTGAAGTAAAAGTTCTAGAACCATATGCATATCCAACTTGAAGATTTTAAGGGGGAGATAGAGATTTCAAGAAATCTACGGTCTTGATTGATCCAAAACAAGATAATTAGATAAGGTTTGTTTTTCCACTCAACATCCCTTTGATGTGGATGATTGCCTTCAATTGGATAAACTTTTAGGTAGACTCACCCTCTCATGTCATCTATGTACCCAACTAATAAAATAATGTCAAATCAGCAGCTATATTTTTTTTTATCGTCTCACGTTAGTAGCTTTTAAACCAATGTTTTCTATCTCTAACTAAAAGGGAAACGTGAAAAAATAGTAAATTAGAAAAAAATAAACTGCTGATTTGACTTTATTTCATTAAATGGGTACATAGATGACGTGTTAGACTGAATTTATATAAGAATTTCTCCTTCATTTGTCAAACTATAAATACTTTCTTCCTATACCAACATGCCATTCAAATCCAGATCTACCTAATTCATAAAGGCCAAGCAATTGCACTTTCTCCCCTTTTTTTTTTTTTTTTTTTTTTTTTGAATTTTTTTTCAATAATTAGGAAAAATAAAAGATTTTTTTTTTTTTTTTTTGAATTTTTTAATAATTAGAAAAATAAAAGAATTCATAAATTATATTTCTTTTTCTTTTTCCTCTATCGAATGAACGTTGTAGTCTTCATGACGGCGGGTGGAAATTTTTACGGTTAAAAAAATTCGAATTTAAGATCTATCACTATTTATATAAGTGGAAGACTAATTAAACACGCTTAATTGGATAGCCAAACTCTGATGGTCAAAAGAACTCGAACTTAAAACTTCTCACTACCAGTATAAATGGTAAACTAACTAGACTATACTTGATTTGTCATTCAATAACAAGATATTTTCTTTTTTATTTGAAAATGTATTTTAGAGTGATAAATTCAATCATCAAAGAACTTATTCTTTGGAATAAAGTTCTTCCAAATCATATTTTTGATAAATGTAACTAATATTTGAAGTGGGGTTTCCAAACTGTAACAAGATTCCACTTTGAAACAACAGTTAATACAATTATTGGATTAATTTGATAAGAATCATCCAATCATTAACGTAAAGCCTAATACGAAACTCCTTGATTGGCTTGGCGGCTCACTTGCATTTGAGATAGAGTTATTCGGTGAAATTAATTATTTTGGTAGTTGTAAGTTATTTTAGTAGCTGTTAACTGTTTAAGTAGTTTTTCATGAAACGTTAAAGCTAAATATTATATAGGTTAACTTTTCACAAAATACTATTTTAATCTCTAAAAACTAATTCAAACATCATGATATCGAATAATATAAAAAAAAGCGTTTAATATTTTAACCGATCAAAATGTTAAACATTACCTTAAAAAGTTGTATGGCAAAAAGCTTTGCTAATATGGGTCATTTTTCCACGTGATTAGATATTGGAAGGTGGTGTTTGGTTAGGGAAATACAAGCAACCTCCTCCTTCGTGTAGTTTATCCAAAACTTGGGGATATAAAAATGATTCCAATATTCCTAATCACCTTTCCAAAAAATAAAAAATAAAAAATAAGATGTCTCCATTCCACAAGATAAACTTGTTTTCACACTTTTTATATATATGATCTATATTATATATAAATATAAGAACACGAGAATAATAAAATTTTCGATATTGCTTTTAATGAAGTTTAAATATTCTAAAATAACTTTAGTTATAATCAATTAGAAAATTATATTTTATTAGTGATTGGATATAATTTATTAAAATTTTTTTTAAATAAATATTAAAGATAGAAATTAAGCATTTTAAAATTTTAAAATTTATCGGTTTTAATTTATTTTTTAATAAAATAATATTGATAATCAGGACATCTAAGAAATTTTTATATTTTACTTTCAAAATTAAATTTATTTTTTAATAAATAAATATGATAATCAGACATCTAAAAATTTTTATATTTTACTTTTCAAAATTATTTTTTAAATATACGATTCCGTTTTTCTTATAATTTAAAATTTAAAATATTTTATTTATGAGAGAGATAGAAAAACAAAATAGTATATTTTTCACAATATTCTTTTTCTTTGTGTTGGTATAATTTGATTGGATATATTTTTTAAAAATAAATTTTCAAGTAGTAGAATACACATATATAATTAAGCCTTTCAAATTTTCAAATTTTTAATTTTAAAATTAATTTTTGTAAAAAAATGAACATATGTGTGTGCGATGACCAATAGTTGAAAATTTTAATTTTAAAATATAAATAATATTTTATTATTATATCTATATGTCTATAGATATGGAAACTTATTTATTAGGATGATATTATAGAATTATACATATATAATTATACTAAATTTTAGATAAATGATGATATAAATTAAACTGAAATGTGTGTATATATACATACTGCTATTTTATTAATTGACCGTTATATTAGCATTAACTTTGTATGGAGTTTTGTTTTAACACTATAAAATGTAAATAGTATAAGATAAAAATTATAATCAATATTTAATATTAAAAATAAAAACAAGTATAAATAATAAGTCATTAAAAGTGGCAACTAAAAGTGAACAATAACATAAAAATTAAACGAGTACAAATAACGAGTATAGGCAATGTATAACGCATGTCATATAAAGACTAATATAAATAAAAGTGAGAATTAAAGGAAAAATTTCATAGATTGACAAAAGATTTTAATGGTAATTTCATTTGATTAGTTATATTAGTTTTGTATTTAAATTTAAATTTTACTGGGTAAAAACTAAAAATAAAAAATTACTGAAAGAAAATAAAAAATCTTTAATAGTGTACAAAATAATTATAGATTTAATAAAGTACAACATTTAATAGAATCTCGAATTGGGATGGGTTTCTCTCACTTTTGGCATAGCGGGCCCGGCAGCTATTAGCTTAGTGGTAGATAGGGGTGGCCAAAATCCGATTTTTGAAACCAGAACCATCGGTTTTGAACCGGTGGGAACCGAAATTGGTGAGAACCGGAACTGGTCTGAACCAAAAATAAAATCGATTCAAATTGGTTCGGTTCCGGTTCCACTAGTTTTGGAACCGTGAACCGGCGGTTCTAGCTCCAGTCGGAACCGACGGTTCTAGTTCTATCTGAAACCGGTCGGAACCATCCAAAACCGGCCAGAATCGGTCTGAAACCGGCCCGAACCGTCGATTTTTGAACCATTGAGGAACCAGAACCAAAACAGAAACCGTTCGGTTCCAAACCGTAACCGAAACCATTAATTTTCGGTTCGGTTCCGGAACCGTGGCCACCCCTAGTGGTAGAGTGTGCCCTTGACAATTGCATCGTTGTGTCTGGACTGTGAGAGCTCTCAACTAATGGCAGAGTTAGAAATATTTTTCAGTGGAGTCATTTATTTATTTTGATTTTTAGTTGAGCAATTTGCATTAAAAATTCTAAAATTTTTCATTTAATATATATTTTTTATTTTTTATCAATTTAATCCTGTTTTATAAATTTTTTTTAAAAAATTGAATAGGTCAATTGACTCCACAACACATACTATGGCGCCACCCCTGCTCCGAGCCACATGGATAGTTCAATATGCTCATCAGCGCCTAACCCTGAGATATGGATCATCCAAGACATATTAGCATGGCGTACTTCTCATATTCAAATCGGAGTTTGAAATCAAACTTCTCCCTAAGAGGATAAATAGCGCGATTCATGTGAGATCCAATTATTTAAATTTTTTATTCACTCATAGGATCCGGTAGTTCGAGTACATCCCTTATTAATGTATGGACAGTTATCTCTGGAGTATGCGGGTTTAAGTTTCGGCCTTAATTGAAAAATAAAATGGAGCACCTAAGATCGTATTTTCACATATCAAAAACCAAGAGATCGCCTACACACGCACACACTTTTTATGTATTCAAGGTTTATTAACTTTCCATTATTAATAGAATTATTATTCTGAATCGTTGATATATTAATTTTAATTTGATATTAATATTATTCTATATGCTATATTCGTTATCAATTGTTATTCAACTTTCACTTTCAAATTTTTTGAATTTTACTTTGTCTTTATACATAAAATATTATAGTCTTAAAGTTTAACCATCATTTCATAGTCTTAAAGTTTAACCA